TCTAATCTTTAGTTTAGTGATTCAGTTATTAGACTTGAAATCTTCGAAAATTCTCAGTATCGACGCAGTGTTGACTTGTATCTGAATAATAGCAATAGCTTTGTATTTTATTCCAAAGAACGCTTCTATAAAACACATTTTATTTAAAAAGTATAACAGTTTCTTAATAAAAAAATCCGCATTAAAAAAACACATTTATTAATTCATATTATCATCACAATAAATACACGCATTACAATCTTATATTTTCTATATAATATAAATGTAATCATATAATAATACCTATAGGTCATGCTTCCAGCGATTATATAATAATAAATATTCATTACATAATATATATGATATATTCTGAGAGACTTCTACAAATAGTCTTTTAATTAATTGTATTCCACTCCATACAGTTAGAAGTATGGTTATATATTATATTCTAAAGGATATATAAAGTGGACATTGATATGGGGTTCTACAATCTAAGTTACAATAGTTTATGGTCGTCAAATAACAACGCGTTTTCATGTCCATTGTAATACTAAAATGAATATTCCATTCTGTATAAAATACATGCCGAAGTTACGTTTGAAAATATGCCCTTTCCGAACGTTACTAGACATTGTAACGTGATGACATGACGTCTTTATACATTAAATTGGACTGGACGATGAAAACGCGACTCCAAAAGCTTACTTTTAGGCACTAATCATAATACAATATCTAAAGTAGACACCGCTAATGTCTAGAAATTCTCAAAAATTCAGCTTTATTACAAAAATACAGAGAAGAAAGCAAGTTTTTGATTTTAATATTAATGTTCCCAAAACCCAACGCCGTTATATATTCCAAAACATCAAATAAATATGGATGGAAATCAGGCCGAATCGTAGGGGAAAGGCCGAGACTGAAGGTCAAGGTCAAGGTCATGACGATTTATTGAGACATTTCGCGGCGATGTCACCTTCATAAATATAAGAGTGTATCTTTAATATTCAGTATTATGATTTAGTACTTGACTGACTGAGTATCGGGACTGTTACATAATCTAATAGTCGAATTTGAAAGGTGTTCGATAAATCTTCGAACGTAGAAACGGTTAAATCGTAGAAGTAAAATTGTGATTGACATTTTCCGAGAAGAACTTTTCTCAATCAACGTTTGCTCGACTGCGACGTAAAGAGGGTAATGTATGTGAATAACATATTAGATAAAACCAACCGAAACTGAATTTGGTTCAGTACATGAAGAAAGACATTTTGTCGTAAAATATACTCGTACAGAACGCGAAAATGTCCATCAACTTCTTAAAAAACCTTTCAATTCCTGACTTTTACAATTAAAGCGGTATTTTATGGCATCACTATTTATTTATACATTCACCATGTAGTTTATTCATGAAAATTCCTCATAGTAAGATAATATATAAGACTAAATAGGTATATTCAAAAAAGTCTATCTATTAAATAGATATATAGGATTATTCGAGATAAATATAGGAGGCGAATTAATGTTACATTTTTCCTATACAAAAATAACTACAATTTTCATTTTCATCTATGTTCCCAAATCCAGTACTAGAAATTCCTAATACTTTTAATACTAGAAAAAGTCTTATTTCACAGTTTAACTGCGGCATAAACATCTGTGTATTTTTTTTTCATAATATGAGTTAGCAGTTAAGCTATGAATAAAGATTTTTTGACTATTGAATATTACATTAGCCGTATGTTATTTTCATAAAAGACCATTTTTCTAGAACTTTCTGGTCACCTATTCTTATTTCCTAAAAGAATTCAATTCTGTGACGCATTGCCATTCTAATAAAAAATACAACTATTATATTTTTCTTTTTTCCAAAGCACCATTTAAAAAAATATTCTTGAAATCGGTTAAGCCAAAAATGTTTAAAAAGAAAATTGTAAAAGACGATTAATAGCTTTATTTGATTAAAATTGGTCTGTGACGGGACGTTTATACAATTTAGGACGTATTTTGGAATCAGAAGGGTTGGTTTAAGGCCCACTGTCCACTATGATGTTATTTGGTAAGCTCGCCTTTGATATTGTAACAGAGAGAAACCACATCTTCGAAGCACTCAAATAGCGCAAGCGGTTAATAGTTACGTATGCTAACATTTCGACAGCATACGTCATTCCAACTTCTCTTAAAATTTAAGGAACCAAAGCAAAGATAAGTGGCAACTTAACGACATTTTGGTTTTAACTAACCTATAAGTGACACATAACCACACAGATAATCGAGTTAGGTTAGATGCTCATCACAATAAGCGACTCTTAGTTATGAGATGGCGTAAGAGTGTTTCTAAAAACGGCCATAACCCACTCAATAAGGAGTCAAAATAATTTTAATACAAAAATAGTACTTTTCTATTTACAATAGCTTGTTTTATAAAACAACAATTGTAATCAATAATGATTCCCATCACTATTGGCAAAGGATACACGAAGGGCAGTTTCATCTCTTTCAGTAACGGCTTTAGAGAATTATAAGCCGGTTATTACAGCCGAGGAAAGGTCATCAAGGTAGGTACAGAAAATCCGGACTTACGCTGACCCTATATAGGATTTTAAGCCACAATACGTAACTGACCAAAACCACGGTAAATATACGTAATTTATTTAATTTTTAACTTTTTTTTCAAAAGGTCAAACGGCTGTATGTACCTATCTTTTTGTAAAATAAAATACTGCACCGGGTATAAGTGCTATTTCCAGCTTCTCTTTTTTATAGCGAACGCTCGCCGCATAAATAAGGAGACACGACCGCGGGTGAATGAGTTTGAACTGTATATTAAGTTATTATTAAGACGACGTTCCTTTGATGTGTTCTCTTTTACAAAAATACGTGTAAATTTTAATAATCTTTAGTGGTTATTATGTAGAATGTTCTGGAATTGTAAACGAGGAACATTTTGGAAATTTTAGTACTTAACATTGTATGTAAACTGTAAGTTTAAACTTAGGGTTCAATGTTTACTGAAAACTTCTTGTTTGTCTTGGAAGATTGATAAACAATGTCTCATGTTTGTAAGCTTGTTGAGACACACTTATATATAAATTCCTCGTAAACACAACATTCCAAATAACTTGTAAATTCATGTTACACCTCAGTAGACGGCGAGCCTTAAACCTATTCAGATTACTTGCTAATAGATTGTTGTGATGAAGAAATTTGTCTTTTATTTTTAGCATTAAAATTCAAATTACATCACATACTCAGTTTACCACGAAATGGTCAATAACGGCATGGAGACTGATCACATCAAATGTCCATCGATTTAACTCTCACGTATATACTGTACGTAGGAAATAGGACTTTACGAGGATAGAAATTAGGTGTGTTTTGGCATGAGGGTTCTTATTTAAGGCTATTAGTTTGCATAATCCAGTTCGGCCAATACGAGACACTCAATTAGACGGTATCTGAGTTAAATGGTTTCTGAGTATTGGTAATTACTGACAAAGTTATAATATCTAACTATAGTTATGGAAATGTAAATGGTCTGATAGTCTCTGGTGTATAAATTTGAATTGGATTTAGAATGGATTTTCTTAGAATAGAAGATTTGTGAATTATTATTAGCCAATGAATAGGAATAGAGTAGGAATGTTCTTAGGAATAGTTGTTGACGCACATTTCTTGATCACACTATTTTGTTTTTTAATGGTTGAATTTATACTATATTTACAATCCATCGTATTATACGGTTGATGCCAAATAAATTAGAGTTTTATCAAATATAATTTCGGCATATGTAATTAGGTACAAAGATCTTCATTCACGCAACATCTATTAACATATACAACGACCCTTTTCATTATAAAAAAAATAATTTTCCATTTCCAACTCAAAATTATCAAGAGTAAAGCAACTCTTTATTTGCAAAAGCCTATAGAAATGTATAGAGTGACCTTTTTTGTAAAGAGTTTTCATTTATACAGATATTCACATGCAGCAATGAGTATAAAAGAAAAAAAACTCATTTGATGTACAAAAGTCCACTACTTATATACTGGCTGTATTCAGAATTTTACCTAGAAGCCCATTAATACAAATATATTTATAAACACATCTTCCGTATTTCCTCTTCTATAAAAATATGTTTTCACATAAAATCTCTATTAAAGCCTGTTCCATGCAGTTTCCGTGAACACTTTGTATCGAAACTCGGGACATTGTAAAAATTGGGAAAATTTAATTATGATCCCATCATTTTCCGAGAGGTTTTTGTTTGCTCGTGACAAGCTCTGAATGACGTGAAATTTTTCCTTTTACAAATTATCTTCCGTACATTTATTATTCATCTCTGCTTATTCCCTTTTCCATCTGTTTTTACAATGTCTCGAGTGACGCTACAAGGCTGTGTCACTTACGATAATCAGACATTTAGTACAATTTATACATATATAGATAATAGGTGCACACAAAATATTTATTTTATATTACAATCTACAATCTATGATATAAATGGTGTTTCTCGATATATGTCCAATAATACCCGTGGGACGGTTGAATGGGACATTAATATTTGAAGGATACAATGACTTGATAACAGCAATACTGTTATAAATATTTAAATGACATATAACTAAATACAACGATCTGCTATAATAATATTAGTTTCACAAAAAATATGTAAATACATATTTTCATTTATGGTTCACTTGAAAAACCTCTCTACCCCACTCAATCCGTTCCCGGGCTATATAATATAATATATAATAACGCTATAGGATATGTATACTACAATATTATGCTACCTGATATGAAATATCTACTAATACAAATATTTACAATACAATATAAAAAGCACTAATAAATATTCGTTGTATCTTAACGATTACGAAACAGCACATATACCATTTGAAGACAAAGTATAAAGAAATTAAAACTACTATCACATATACTATATTCATATTTATGTACGTTTTATATATACTATAAGAAGTAGGTATGTTTATATAGATTGCTGTTTGAGCACGGAGTTGACAAGCACTGACAAAGCAACGGTACACTGGCGAGCGTAAATATCGAACAACTAAATAGTACAAAGGATTTTCAACTCTAAATCCTTGGAAATGTGATACTGTATGCAAAGTACAGAAAAATCTTGGCTAAGCCTAGGTTTCAGCTGTCAGTCACATAGGGTTTCTTTTCGGCTTTTATTTAGATTGTAGAGTGTATGATTTAAAAGGTTCTCGTAATGTACGAATGCTTGAGAGATGGGTAAATGTTTTAGCTTGCATTCAAGAACAATATTAGATCTGTTAGTTTAATGAAATACTTTTTTGTTGAAGGCATTCTCCTAATTTGTCTTCGTTTAACAAGGGAGTCAAGGTAAATTGAATATACTTTACACGAAACACCAAACTAGTTCGACATTTAGCTCGACAGTGAGAGATCATCCGTGAGTATTCAGAAGTAATATATCTTATCTGTCGCTTCGAAATGTACATGCTTCTTGCCGTGCGATGGCAGCACGACCAACAACCATCAGGCGGGGCTGCCCTTCCTTGGATTCTTCATTGTCACCACATCGCAGCTTCTTACTTCACTATTCTTACCATTAGCACTTTTGTCACTGTACTTTTGACTAGCATTGTCGTTAGCACTTTTGTTAATATATACACTTTTAGGGTTGTCAACATTTCTAGTTAACGGACCCTTCACTTCATCATCTTTATCACTTGGTTCGTTTATTTCTGGGATCGTATTCCTGGGCTTAGAGCCGTCTGCTTCCTTGTCGGCCTGAGTGAGCACCTCCTGTACGTGGATGGTGAGCTCAGGCCGCACTACTTGTGTGAAGGGCAGCAGAGCGCCCGCAACGTCCATAGTGTTATTGATGTTTCTGTGCCACAACTCGAGCACGACGCTGCGCCGTTGCTACTTGTATCTTGGCGGCCCCAACCAGCCGCAGCCGAACACCTATATAAAAAAACAAATGATTAACATATTCTACTACACCCTCTCCTCTCATAAAACCGCCAATAAAGTATCCACTTAAGTGTGTGGTTTATGAGGGATTTACTTAGCATAGTCTTAAAAACTTTACGCTACTTATTTACATAGGCATTATTTATACCCAATTTTCTCAGACCCTTTTCAACAGTAAGAATTTTGCTTTAAAAAGTATGTTTATAATAACAAATTGTTTTCGAACCCTAAACCTAAGATAAAAACTATTTTTATATAAAATTAAATAAAAACAAATTTTACCTCTTCTTCTGTAACAACAGTTAGAGTGAAAATTGTAGGAAATGTAATCAATATTCATAGTATACCTGGGCTATTACCTGACAAACTGCGAGGGCTAGCAGTAGTAGCAGGACCAGGGCCATTAGACCCCACACCACGCCCAGCTGAGTCAGCGAGAACACGTACAACGTCTTATGACACCACTGGTTTGGCTCGAACAGCGTCGGGGCGTAGTCCGGCCACATGATTTGCAGAGTCCAGTAATTGCCAAAGGCAAACCTGAGATAAAAAATCCATTTAGAATTCCAGAGAAAAGGTGAATATGAAAAAGGTTATAAACAGTGTCAATGACCGCTTTATAGAACTTACGAGAATTGGATAAATATTTATCTCTCTTACTTGGAATGATTCTGTTTCAATTAGGGCTAAGAAATCCCTTTGGCGTAATAATTCGTACCTAACGATAATATTTTGCTTGAACGATCAATCAACCTTTTTTACCAATTAACGTATTATACTCTCCAGATGCCAACTGTTCTGTCATAAAAAAGCATTAATATCATAACTAGCATTTATTCTCATAAACTGGAATTACCCTAATCAACAACCTTTTTTTCAATTTGACAAATCACCTGTCGAACGCAAAGTAATGAGATTAAAATCCAAATTAAAAGTTATTGGGGAAAATGGAATTCGTATTACTAAAATCATTTCTAAAAGTGTTTGAAATTAAATTTATAGTAATGTCAATAGTCTTCTAAATTTGAAACCTTTTCTAGCTGGATTGATTGGTGAACAGACATTGACCAATAAATTACCTGTATTCGAAAAACACATTATTAAAAATTTTATAAAAGATCTTAATTATATTTTTTTAGTTATTCAAATGTAGATAAACAGTTATTTAATGATTTCATTTGGTGTAAATCTGGTTTCATAACTTTGTACGTCTCCAAAATGCTAAACAGATGGAACCTAACAAAAAACAATAAAACTACATTAACCTCATTTCACCACAAAGTAGAACCCAGAACAAAAGCAATCTGACAAAACAAATTGCATTTACTATGTTATTTGACATTATAAACATAGTCTGGCAACAACTACCTCGAACAAATAACGACATCGTTAACTTTATGGGTAACCAAAAAATGTGTTTGTTTTATATTCTTCTTCATAGGGATATATAATTCAGCATGACCGCTAGACCAACAATAAAATAGTGGTATCACTAAACCGACAATCTTTTTAAGGGGGAAAACCATGCTTCGACTACGGCCTCACAGAAAACCGACACGTCAAACAACGCTTGCTTGTATATTGTCGTGTAAGCGTGGTCACTGGAGGCCCAATCTTCCTAATCCCCCAATCGGTTGATTGAATACTTGAATCTCCAACAATTCACTAATTCCTGACCCGCAAAAGGTGGGCAACGCATTTGTAACGCCTCTGGTGTTTCAGGTGTTCTTCAATCAGGGCAGCGCTGATTATTGTTTTATTATACGACCAAATAAAAAAATACGTGTTTAAATGTTTTTCAGTACCTAACGTACGGACTAATTAGATTTTTAATTTCCATACCCTGTCATCATCCCTATTGAGGAAGCAATTAATTATTGAAAGCCATTATATCATGCTCTTAGTTACACCAGAATTTTGCGATTTAATTATTAAAGGCTGCTCTTCTATTTACCTAACAGGTTATACCGCAGCCATGTTGACGTATCGACAGATTATTGTATACAAAGCAGTCGGTTCCAACAATATTGTTTTATGAGAACAAAAATATCGAATACTCTCTTTTGATTTTATAGCAGTCATTTTTCGTAGTTTTATGATGTACATTTCTGACAACAATAAAACTGGAATTGGAAATTATCGGCTAGTAAAACTATGCACCCATTTTAAGAGTCGACTTTTCTGAGTACCTATATAAAAGCTCCTTCTTATTAAAGTAATTCAAGATTGCATACATCTATTCGCAATGTTTTCATCCTCTATGGAAATTTCAACTAAATAAAGGTTATATTTCATCTAGAATGTTTTATAAACGCTTTTGAAAGACTCTTAATAACGAAACAAAGTTAGTCCTAATAAATAATACGGGAGCCAAATTCCAAGTCGAAGTTCCTGGACACTTAACTTACCAGACGAGCAGAAATATTGAGAGTAGAGATGCGAGAATCTTCTCGACGACGCTGGCTGAAGTGTTAGAGTTTCTATTGACCAGCTGCGCGAACAGTAGCCAGCAGATACCAGCCCCTCCCATGATGCCCCCCACTATCATGTACACTGGTATTCGAGGCTGTGCTGGACAGTCCCGAATGTAGTGGACACCTGGGGATGAAGGTTTTATTAATATGACAGATAATTATTTGGACTACATGTAGTATAGTATTAGTATAGTATAGTATTAGAGCTTACATACAGGTAGAGTCATTGGAACGCCAATTGCTATGATTCCTATATACCTCTTTCAGTTTATCAACAGTCATCAGCCTTTTCATGCATGCTCGTCGGTACGAATGCGATTGGGTTTGAAATGCGTAAATGCAACTATAATGATCATCCTAATCGTACCGCGTATCGCGCGCGCCTTATAGAGCCATCAGACCAACACAGACGGAGCCCATCGGAACGGGGTGGTTTTAATCAATAAGACTCTGAAACTCCCTCTCGGCTCACCAAAGACGGGAGTAGTATGATTATCCCGCCTCAAAAAGAAATAAACTATCATTGCTTGGTTGTAAAAATACATTACTAAGACCAACTTAAGGTAATTTAGGCTACACGTGCAATATTTTCGATATCTGATCTATATGAAGATATCAAAAATAAGTAGGCCAAAATGAACCAATTGAGACCAGATCTACATGTAGGTACAATCAACAATCGTCAGATAATGTGATCGACCTCATTTCCCTGGACGGTGCCTCACGAACCGAATTATACCGGTACGCACTGGATTTAACGATCAACGCGTTGATTAAACCAAGCCTGACTGTACAAATATTAGTTCGAGTACAAGCAATCGATTATTGTACAACATCGAGTGATCGGTGATCGTTCCCTATATGATTTTATTGGCGCCCCAAACACGAAATATGTGTTCGAATTATCATAACTTTGGCAATGGTTTGACCTAAAAACTTTAGTTTATCGTCTTGTCTGACTATTTGTTGGTGAGCATATGTTATTTTTGTGCTTCGAAGCTGAAGGGTTGATAAAAAGAAAATCTGTTTTGTTTGTTTTAGTTTCCTGTGTATATGAAAAGTCAGGAGTACATTTTTATCGATTAACAGGCGTTGTAATAGATGAACCACCGTCTTTAAATTGTCTATTGTTCCTTTACTTCCAAATTAAATATGATTGTTTGACTGGCTGATTTATATTAGTAGGAAATTAATGTTTATACTATATTTACACTTCTGCCTCGCTGTATTTAATTAAATTTCGTAAAGGAAACGGAGAGACAAGCACAAGACTTATAATAAAATTACGAGAATAAATCTATTAATTGCTTATCAGAATTTACATTTGTAAGTTCTGAGACTTATCTAAATGTTTCATCTACGTGTCACTGTTTAGTCAATAGATTATTATTGTAGGTAAAGATACTCTATCTAAGTTACTAAGTACTTTTGTTACATTAAGCGTTGTTAAGCCCCAGCCAAGACGTTATTAATAGACAAAGCTACAACACTTTAATTAGCCTGTCAGGCACCATATCGGTAGCGAGTAATGAGCAACTCTGAAAGTTATTGGAGCGACGGTACAATCAAGTGAAACAGCTCAATCAGCTGAGTATTAATTAATTTGAATATTCATGAGCGAATCCAGGGGGCGTCCAGGTTATGTGTGGAATTAATGATCAGGTGGATCGTTGAGAGCTGTTGTTGTAGCATGCTGGATAAAACTTTAAATTTTAAGAAGAACTACTAAAATCTAGTCGGTTTAGGTACACAAGTAAATTGTAAAAGAATATAGAAATAACGATAATGATAAAGTTATAATACCATTAACTTATTTTGTCACAATTTACCAAATATCAGTTTTATAACAAAATCACATCCGTTCCTACCCAACACTAAAGCAGTAATAGATTATCGCCATTTCTCTGACCCCTCAAACTTGCTCAAACTTGTCCAAACTTGCCAACTTCAATCAAAATACTACGGAATTCCTCGACGAGCGTCCATTAGAGCCTACTTTTAATCAATAAACTTATTTACAAAGTTTTCCTTTCATTTTTTCAGGCGCCATTTTACGATGTCTGTCAGTTTGTAATTTCATTAGGTGCGCATCTCGTCCCGGTCGACTTATCAGATTTATGTCAACTTTGGTTTAAGCTTTATCTCCGTGGCTGTACGAGGCCGCGCGGCCGCGTGGCTGTGTAGCTGTGTAGCTGTTGCTACTCGCCGCCTAATGACTTCTGCTTCAACTTTCGTAGACTACAATATGTGGTTACAATATTTTGAAATGTGTTATTGTGTCTTTTGTGTATTACAGTTGTAAGTACGGTTGCAAGTCAAATTAAAAATCTTAACTAAATATTTAACTCGTCGAGTACCGGTTTTGTAGACACAATTATAGAACAATAGGTTGCGGTCACCGGTGAACGCTTGGTGTTTGACAGTTTAAGTTAAAAGATCTTAACACAGTAGTTACGACTTCAAAATCAATTTGTATTTAAAAAACATTCACATAATGTAATACAACATCACGACTTTTTATCTCCGAAGGGGTAGTGCACATTTTGGCACTTAATGCCACTGTACAATGCAACATTTTTTTCACTATTTATCTATTTATGCTATGAGTCTCATGTAAATGGGGGCGAGCCTATTGCCATAAACCGGACACAAGTCCAAACTCCATGCTACTGGGAATGATTTGCAAAACCTGGTAGTACTTTGCTCGACCCGGGAATAGAACCCGATACCCCTTGCTCAACAGTCGCACTTGTGACCACTCAGCCAATGAGGCAGTCACAAAATATACATGTCAATTGCAACGTGTTGTGGCTGAAATCATCATAAAAGCCTTAGCAATTCTAGTAAACTACCATTTGGTATACGTGGTCATAAAGAACATCTCTATATTACTCTCTAAAACCACCAAATGGGACCTTCAACGAGTAAAATTTCATCATAAAATTTCTTTCAGCTCCAAGGTCACACTGGTCAGGCTCCTTCGATGTAACGTAAAATTTTTCCATCAAATGGATATGACCACTTTATCTGCGAAGTCGTACAGACGTCGGAGTATTCTGAATGTCATAATAGACTATTCTTTTGTACAAAGCTTGAAAAATATATAGACATCCAAATGTTTCGAGATAACTTCAGCTATAAGTAGTAATGGGTGGCATTTTATTCTATAAGAAACTGATGTGTTCACACTATTGAGCCGTTATTGAGACGAGTCAGGATAGCAGTGTTTTTCTGAGTAAAATAATGTGCAACTATTTGTTCAGCAAGGTAAGCAGTAGTATATATTTTAGTCAAACAATTACCAGATCGGTGTTCCTCTTTAAAATTTTCCCAGTATTCGAGTTTTTATGTAGATAAAACAACTTTAATATTAATATTAATCACTGCCTCGCTGGCCGAGTGGTCGCAACTGCGACTGCCGGGCAAGGAGACTCGGGTTCGAATCCCGGATCGGGCAAAGTACTACTGGATTTTTTAATACATTCTCAGTAGCAGCACGGAGACTGGAATTGTGCCCAGTTGATGGCAATAGGCTTACCCCCTATTACATGGAACTCATAACATAAATAGTGAAAATTAAATGTTATATTGTACAGTGGCAGTACATTAAGTTCCATAACGTACACGTCTGCTAACCCCTTCGGGGATAACAGGCGTGATGATAAGTAATATTAATCAGATTAATACTAAAAACAAGCTAAACTCCTATACATCCCATAAATACTCACCCATAATCACCATTAAAACAGGCAGCGTCGACAGGAAGACGAGGAACACGGTCATGAGAACTGAAACAAAAGCGTTACATTTTATTGAACAATTCAGATTCAGTATCAGTTATTGAATCTTTTTTGTTCGTTCATCACAGCTTGTCGGCTTCGACACATTGACGTGATAAACGGGCCATTACTCCCAGATATATTTCTTTGTAACTCACTGTTCAATGTTTGGAGATACAAATCTTCTAAATCGAATTGATTTTTCTTTTTCCATTTTTAACGCGATAAAGGTAGGTTTCTAATAAAAGTTCTATCAGAATGAAATATGTAGTTTTTGGACGTGTACAATTATTATTTTTAATAGAATTCACACTAAATTCAATTATTTCATTCGTAAATTATTTTCTCTTTACAAATTATCGAATTAAAAAAAATGTCTATTAAACACATAATCCACATGGATGCATTTTAAAACTATACATTAAAATGATTAAAATGTCACTTTACTTACTAGTCCTATTCATAATCTTAGCAGCTCTGCAGATAAAGTCAACAGTTCCAGAGGCTTCCATATTCGCATCTTTGAGCTGGTAGGCCACAGAGCCATACGTTGTGAGGCCCATACCAAGACCAAGGCCACTCCTGTCACTATACTTGGCATGCTCACCGCAAAGACGACGCTGCTCATCACCTGACACCTGATAATTGTAAACATTTTTATTTATTATTTTGTATTATACTGAGTATAATTTTTTATTTAGTATTTTGTACCTTTAGTATTGTAAGGTAATTTTCTCCCATTTTCAATCTGTATAGATATAATGGCTTATGTTGTTGGATACAAAGCAAATTTTCTACAAGGATTTGATTAATGATCCAGTTAAAAATAAAATGATTCTCTTCGTGATTGAAATATAGTATAGCACTATTATGAAATCTATCGTATTTCGATCGATCGTAGTACGTCGTAGCAAGCGTAGCAGACGACGTAGCAAAAGCTACGAAGTCTACGCATTTGACCGAAAAATATTTAGATGAAGATTGAATGACTGAATGTGGAATGGCGCCTCGTATTGAATTAATACTCTTAAGAAACATTCCAGGCCATTCCTTTAACTTTTAACTTTTAATTGCTACAGGATAAAATAAATAGTCAGTCATTATACTGCAGCTTTTTAAAAGTTAGAAATAATTAAACCCATGCCGTGAACGGAACACTCAATTGAATCAAGATTAGCTTTCGAAATATCAATCTTAATTAGTGCAGTGGTTAATGTAAGTACATAATTAGGGTATGTTGCATGTTAAAAACAGTATTACTTGCATGCTAACTTTAGGAATTGCATGTACTAGTTCAAAATACTAATAATTTCAACACCGTTATTGGTCATTCACCTTCCGTATTTCGTGATGTTTTCGACATTTGTTGTTCATTAACTGGACTTTTGTACGGAAATTATGAAACTTCTATATAACAGTTTAGATTAAATTATTAAGTATGAACTCACAAAGTGAGCATTAGCGAGGTAAAAAATTAAGTATGTTAAGCTGTCACGCTATTTATTTGATCAAGATTTGGACTTCGTAACGTTGTTAGCACCTATATATATATAATTTTATATATATTCTATGGTACTTTCAGTGGACATCAAAGTCAAAGTCAAAGTCAAAGCATTTATTTCAATTAAACCATAGTTTGGTACTTTTGAAACGTCAACAAATACAAAATAAATAATAGTCTGTCAGTCAGTCCGACATCAGGTCATCAGGTTGAGTCATCAGGTCAACCAACTCCTCTAATAGATCGCTTTACCAGATTGTCAACATTATTGTTTTTATATAAAGTCGATAATATAAAAAAAATATTGAAAAGATTGGAGTAGGTTAAACGCTGGTGACTGACATACCTACATTACGTTTATTAGGTCTGTAAACAATTTTATTTTAAAGCCCTGTAAGTAATTGCTTTCCATCTTTTCATTCGTAAACTTTATGATCTTTAATATTGCTTTCGCTCGATTTATGACAGTAATTGGCTCTTTCCCTGAAAATTCATTTCAATAACAATTCTCAGTAAATCACCGCTTAAAATGTTGAAAATATTTTTACAAACAATATGAAGAGAGATGATAAAAATGTGCTGATTAAAATTCTGAATTAAATTCCGAAATACTGAATTATGATGGCAATAATATTGAGAGACTATGTAGGTACTATCTTTTATTATAGCCCACCAAATGGCGGACATCTTCCAGTCATGATTAGTTGATAAGTCTATGGCCTCATTGAAAACTAAAACAATTTTCATTCTAGAAAGTTATCCAGTATAATAATTTCATATGTTTAAGTAGAACTAGCATTATAATAATTAACACGTTGTAGTGAGATCTTACCTGACTTACAGAGCTGGAGGCCCGTCGTGAGCCAGGGTCTGAAGGAGCACCAGTACCTGTCTGCCTGCCAACCACCGAAGATCTATAGGGGGACACGCTCCTTCCACGAGTGCCTGTACAGATTTACAAAGATAGCTTCAAGAACATGGATAAAATAGTTGTTCTATAATAAACTGATGAATAAATTCGTGAGAATTGATGAAAAAAAGCTATTATGAAACTACTAAGAAAAATGACGAATATAAAGACAGCACCAAGACAAGTATTAACATAATAGGATTCATGATGTGAAAGAATAAACTAAAAGTCGGGCTAAGCTTGCAAAATACGCACTCAATTTGATTCACGACAAACTGTCAAAATAGAGATTATTCTGAGTAAGCCATCAAGCCACTTAATTTAAATCTAACTAGCGTTCCGTAATAATGACAGGGCTGCCAACAATTTATAGTTTAATTTTGTGCCGCTTATATTTAGTCACTCTATTAATTGTATTAATTGAACCATTCACACAGTCGTGCTGAAAATAAGAATATATTAAGTCGTACCTGCTGTCTGACTGTCTTCACTGGCTCGTCTTTCTCTTGACACCAAAGGCTCTTGGAACGTCAACGTCAGGCTTCCCCTGGGGCTTATCCTACTTGCCTCACCTTCACCTGTCACTAAGCTTCCCCGCGCACTCCTCTCTGACGGTGCAATACTTCCTCGAGGACTTCGTTGAGAATCAGGAATCAGAGAGCCCCTGGGACTCCTATTCATTTCCTGTATTTCTTTTTTTAATGCGGCTTCTGGTCCTATACTGCCTCGTGGACTTGTCCGTGGACTTGGACCTAAATCTTTCTGACTTCGAGCTGGGTCTATTTGAATACTTGCTACCGAGTGGCGAGGACTTCTACCGATATCTGGCACCAAAGAGTTACGAGGCTGGTTCCATGACGTACCCTCTGGCACTAAACTTCGTCTCGGGCTTCTAGCTGTGGCATCTGGAGTAATACTGTTTCTTGGACTTCTATTGAAGTCTTGAGGATTTAAGCTTAGTCTCGATCCGTAGTTCATATCGACGGCTAAGTTGTTCCTAGAAGGTCCCAAAGTGTTTCTCGGTTGTAAAACTGTATCTGGTGTAATGGAATTTCTGGCTGATCTAACTTCAGGGACCAAAGAGTGTCGTGGGCTCCGGTGATAGTCAACCGCGACATCTGGTGCGAGGCTTGCTCGTGGGCTTCTTTGTGGAGGTGGAGTTGGCTCCATTTCTTCGTCAGTTTCCGTGGCTGCTAAGGAGGCCCGTCGAGACGGCAGTGCTGATGCTCTCGGAGACCTTGCTTGTGGTGAGGTGGCTGCACTTCTGGAGGCGCGCCGTCGACGTGAAGATGAGGTTCTGTGAAGCATGCTGGAGTCTTCTAACAATTCACTCCTCACTTCGAGCGTTTTGCGTTCGATTCACCATTGTATCTGAAACAAAAAACCACAAGTTTAGCCAAAAGTTCCTGAACGTTCGCGGATTTAGTGTTCTTTATGCTTCATCGAAATTTATAACTTAAGTTCGTAATCCGATTGTAAAGCCGCAATTTCAACTTCTTTGTTTACAGTCTCGGGCCATGAATCTTAATGCTGTTTAAGTAAAATGAGCTGAGAGCCATAATCTCTTATAATTTATCATAAGGCCTGGGTCGTGTGATATTTCGTTTGTGTATGACATAAAGGGATGATATTCATTTCTACTCTCAACGTTTCGTCTTAATTATGATGATTCATAACAAAATTAGGTTTGTTGTCTCTTTGTGATACACGGAAAATACATCAAGTAATTAAGTCTTTTGGTATATGAACGGTGTTAGGGTAAAATGAATTATCCTTTGTTTTCCTAGAAATAGTTGGGTGTCGAGGTTCATAAAGATGGTTGTCTGAAAACAACATTTATTCCTGGAAATATACGCCAAAGTAATGTAATAAAGATCATTTTTATTTTGTATATTTTGATTTGTTTATTTAGTAGGTGAGTCATTAGCCGTGAATAACGTACCATACGTATTCGTGTCGGCAATTAGTTTTATTTTTTTCGTTGTTTTTGCTAGTCATATACACCATATATATTTAGACGCTTCAGTGAAACCTTTCAAAATACCCTATAGTTTAAATTCGCCAAACCGAAATGAACCAATTACACAATCGAGTCGCCCGGACTAACCCTGTCAAGAACTTCTCAACTCCAACTATTCGTGTTCGGGGTCTCTTTAATACCTACTAAATGTTTCATTATTACTTAGCTGTAACGTCACAGTTATGCAACCTGCCTTTGTGGATTACAAGCAATCTTGAGCAATTTGCAGGCTGTCACTGTATTATCTTGGTCTCTTAGAAGCCCATTCAAGATTAGAGGTAGATAGTTCATTATAGTTAAGGAGTTGATTGTGGCTAGTTTATTTAATCTATTCAAAGACAAGCTTGTGCTTACAATGCATATAGTTTAGTTGTTTGTAGCATTAATTGTAAGAAAGCACATTAACGTTTACTATCAATCCTCCTTTTTCGTATTTTGGATTCTAAAATTTTGATATTTTTAAACGACTTCAAAAAATAAGGTTCTTCTTTTGACCTGTATGTATGTATGTTTGTGCGCGATTACCTCGCGATTAGCTGAATCGATTTTGATGCGGTTTTCAGGAGAGTTTTTGTTACACTTAGGAGAAGGTTTAAGTATATTAATTAACCGACTTCAAAAAAAAGAGGGGTTTTTAGTCAGGTATTTTAAACATAGTTTATAAAAAAATAATTATTATTGGCAAAAAGTAAATAATACATATAGATATTCGCACCGAAAATAAAATAACAACAGAGATTTTCCTAAAACGTAGCGTAGAGCCAAAATACATGCAATAACTAGTTAATGTATGCGGCGTACTCGTTGAGAAGTGAGCTCCAACACCACACCGCAGTTTGACTGCAGCGTTGATTTCCAAACTCCACAGTGAACTTCCAACGCTGGACAGTTGATTTTAATTGTATTATTTTGTGGTTTGTTTAACTTGAAATTTATTGAGAAACTCGTTGGTTTCGGTTTAATGTATGCACAATTATTGTGCATTTTTGATGAAGTTGATTGTTTATTTGTAGTTTTTAGTTGTATTTATTTATGTCTGTGATCTTCCGAAGTTATTAAATGAGGAACCATGACTTCACTTCATTCATTAGTTATTTATCTAAGGTCTTTTTTTAAGGGTGAAAAATCATCAATCAATTACTGTTCCCACCCGGGTGAGGCAAGAGGGAGTGTCAGACTCTTACTGACTATAAACCACCCCGTTCCTAATCATGCTTCAAACCGGAGTCCCGGCTACCCGTTAAGCCCTCCGCGACATTTATCTAAAGTCCTGAATGAGTCTCAATAGAAGTTCCACTACGTATCCAGCATTAGAGCTGCGAATACTTTAGTAACCCACCATTACAATAATGGGTTTAAAATATTTAAGGATAAGATACATTTACTATTCCGTCAGTAAAGGATAGAATCAAACAGATTCTAAGATAGGCTTTCTCATTGACAAACACAACATTAAGGCAAAATTTGTTTTGACTGAAAACTGAATACCAATTTATTATCTTATCAATACCAAGAATACTTTTCCTCAGTTAACACAACAAAATTAACTGAGAAAATCAAGTTCCTTTATAGAAAAAAAAAAACATGAATTAAATCTGAATATTTGCTGCAAATAACTCGAAGCAATTTCTCCCTGAACTTTCCGATGGCCATTTTCAATTTCGCATTACTGAAAATAGAAATAAATGACTGTATTACACAGTATTTGCGAAGGAGGAGGCTCTTGTCGATTTTTCACGCAATCCTACAAATTGAAACGTGGGTCCATGAAATATTGACCGTATTTGGCTCGAGCCGAACGGTTACACTTAGATTTATTAACAATTTGCCTTTTTTTCTATCTACAGGGCTTTATTGTGTTCTAATTTGAGAAATATCTTGACTAGAAAACAGTTTTGTACCGATTACTTGAGTCGCGTAAGGGTCAAAGTGAATTGGTTGCGAATGTTCGGACTTTAGGGACTGGGTTTAGCCAGAATTATTGGACTTTTACACGCTAAACGCTTTTGTGAACTAATGTAGGATGAAAATACGTGTAGGCAGATATACGACGTATTTGCTCAGAAAAGATTTGTATGTAGGTATTTGGTATTTACGATGTTAGTCATCGAAACAATAATGTTCATTTGTTATTGTTCCAATGTTTATTGTATCGAGTAATTGAACAGTAACTATTACAAGATTTCTTTTGATAGGTATTATAGGTAGACAATTTATTTGACGTAAGTAAGAATATGTACGCAATAATAAAAACTTCCTTCACCGTTTATCAGTGGTGTCTAAATAATCTTAGAAAGTACATATAACTTGGAAAAAGTCACATTGGTACTTGCCGTTGGTAGGTTTCAAACCCGCACCCTCATGCATAAGAAGCGGCCAACACGACATCGTGAGGAAACCTGGGCTTATAATTTCTAGTTATAAGTTTGTAATCACCAACCCGCATTAAGCAAGTGTGGTGATTAACTCGTCGAATACCGTCATTATAGACACAATTATAGAACAATAGGTTGCGGTCACCGGCGACCGCTTGGTGTTTGCCAGTTTAATGCGAAAACCTTCTCCGTGTGAGAAGAGGCTTTGCTCAGCAGTGTGCATTTATAGGCTGTTGATAATGATGATGAATAAAAACTAAGAAATCATACGATTACCCAACGAATATCCCGAAGAATCATCTTGAATAGATTCAAAATTAACACACAAAGACCAAACCCAGGGACTAAATAAAATACACGTAATATTATGGATAACAATGTCTCCTTTGATTTAAATGTAACACTCACTTTTCAACTATTAAATAGAACCTAAGAATGGAGTACAATACTTCAGCTTACAGCTGTAAGTCAAAGCTTTGACTTATATCTCCAAGTTTCGAACTACACTGACAATGACAAACTGAGGTAACTAACAATTTTCTTACTACCTTCACTTCTGTAATGACGTAAAGACGAAAAACTTCCCGCCCTCTGTTGAAACTTAAAATGGCAGCACTTCCGTCTGACACGATTACGCGGGAAACACGCCGGAAATTGCGAAACCGTTCTTAGAGTAAAGAACGCACTCTCTGGTTGATATTTTGATGTTCTATACGATTAGATATTTATATAATGAAATGTAATGTGTTTATGTGAGCAAATGCTCGTTGAGTGTGGGTGGGACTGTCAAGTACAAGGTTAAATCTTTGACCTTGGGTTGAGTTTGATGTTCTTGTTCTTATATAGTCATTTGGGTTCAGTCTTATGCTCAGCAATACATAGCAGTTTTCATAAAGTGATATACATAATATTTAGGCAAGTAAATATTCATTATTGTACCATTACTTTTTACATTACGATTCGATGTTTAAATTTTCTTTAAAAAAACGTTGCAAGCGTGCGGGAACCGAACCCGCGACACGTCGTACAGCAGTTAGTTGCCCAGCCACCGCGCCAACGGTGCAGTCGAAAATAATACATTTACTGATTCCAGAATTAAATGAAGTATCAAAGTTTTTTTTTTTTAAAAAAAAACGTTGCCCACACTAGGATTTTCTCCTGTGTCGTGGGTGCGTTTACAAACATACAAGTTCACATACACAATGACACCCAGACCCGAAACAACAATTTGTGGATCACACAAAGTGTTGTTCCGTGCGGGAATCGAACCCGCGACACGTTGCACGGCAGCCGGTTGCCCAGCCACCGCACCAACCGTGCAGTCGCAACAAAGTACCTCCAGTCATGTTCGAAATCAATCGACCTTTTTCATAAAAAAATATTATAATCACTTGTTAGCCAGAACCGTAAGCTGAATTAATGTGGTGTCAAAAATACACCAGTATCATTACCTAAATCTGTATTTTGTGAAGCGTGAAACTGTTAGCTCCGGTCCTAAGTACCCATTAAAGCATTTTGTCGAATATCGACTGTGGCCATTAGAGGGTCAAATGAGGTAGAATTATTTGTCACTTTAGATAATCTGTTAGACTTAAGTAAATAAATGTGTTTCAAAACTAATTTTATTGAAATAAAAATAAATTTTGAGATTAACTAAGAGTCGCGGGTTACTCACGTGAAAATACTGAGAAAAGATCCACTGGTTTTGTATCACAGAGAGAGCCTCATAACCAGCGTACACGGTGACGCTGACGTTGTGCAGCCTACTGACGTCGTGCAGCCTACAGGCGTCGTGCAGCCTACTAACTGAGGGCCGGGACACATAAACACGATACGACGTCGTGTCGTACCACGATACGGCGTCGTTTCACGATACGGCGTCGCGTCGTGGAAATGTACGACGAGCATCGTAA